TATATATATATATATTGACACGGTTGATAAGGTTCCCAGTCTCCTGGCCAGGGTCTCTGTATGTACATAGGTACAAAAAGAAACTTTTTAAAAAATATGAACCATTATGCCGGCTTTGATGACTGTTACTGTGTATTGTTATTGGGTTCTCAATGTTCTATCTTGCTCAATTTTTAACATGTATAATCCTATACACTATGAAAGTGGATACGAATAAGCACATATAAAGACTGTGTGTATATACAGTACATAAAAACTGTGAAGCATCCAGGCCTGTTGTGTGTATATACGTACATATACACACACACATATATATATATATACGACATGCAGACCTTATACATGTTACATACATATGTATAGACCTACATGTACATGTAATGATGCATGCATATATGTGCATGTACATCGATACACGCATGTGTGTGCGTGCATGTATAGATAGATAGTTAGATAGATAGATAGATAGGTTGGTATGTATGTATGTACCTATACATATATATAGATATATATGTGTGTGTGTGTGTGTCTGCACATAGGTGTACATATAGGTTAACCTATATATCTGTAAATACATATGCGTAGATAGAAGCTGTCTATGTATATATATATATACACACACATGTATCACACACGTGCACATGTGTACATATGCATATATAGTCATACATATGTACATGCCTACGTATATATATATACATAGTGTAGATATACAGAGACATACATGCATATTATCCACAGAAATCTGCGTACACATTATTGTGAAATGTTTTCATGTCCGAGCCTCCCAGCACGAAACCGAAAGGTCCGCATCCCGAAGCTTCGGCACAATGGCATCCTTGAACACATTCACCGTGGCTTGCCATCGTGTACTCGCCGGTGCTGTCAGTGGCTTGGTTCTCCTCGCAAATGCCACGTTGGGCTCATCCTCATTCTTCTTTGGACGGCCTGGCTTGCCCTTACTGGGCTTCGCTTTGGCATGCTTGTTGCCCTTTGCTCCACTCTTTGCCTTGGCTTTTGCCTTGCCTTTTGCCTTTGCTTTGGCCTTCGCCTTGGCTTTGGGCTTTGCTTTGCGGGGTCGCTCGTCTTCCTCTTGGCTCTCACTGTGCCCCTCCTCCCCAGAAGGCTCTGAGTTTGGCTCCTCATCCTCATCATCTGATGTTCCTGCAACCTTCGTGTTTCCTCTCCTTGGCTTTGGGTCTTCCTCTTCTTCCTCCTCTTCCGATGCCTTTGGATCCTTCTTCCAGCCCGTCTTCTCGGCTCCTCTCTTTGTCTGGTGGCTTTCCTCGTCTTCCTCCTCTTCCAATGCCTCTGCCCTCTTCTTCCTGGCGCCCTTTGTCTTGGCTCCTCTCTTTGGCTGGTGGCTTTCCTCCTCTTCCTCCTCTTCCAATGCCTTTGCATTCTTCTTCTTGGCTCCTCTCTTTGGCTGGTGGCTTTCCTCCTCTTCCTCCTCTTCCAATGCCTTTGGGTCCTTCTTCTTGGCTCCTCCTCTCTTTGGCTGGTGGCTTTCCTCCTCTTCCTCCTCTTCCGATGCCTCTGCCCTCTTCTTCCTGGCGCCCTTTGTCTTGGCTCCTCTCTTTGGCTGGTGGCTTTCCTGCTCTTCCTCCTCTTCCAATGCCTTTGCATTCTTCTTCTTGGCTCCTCTCTTTGGCTGGTGGCTTTCCTCCTCTTCCTCGTCTTCCAACGCCTTTGGGTCCTTCTTCTTGGCTCCTCTCTTTGGCTGGTGGCTTTCCTCATCTTCCTCCTCCTCCAGTGCCTTTGCATTCTTCTTCCTGGCACCCTTTGTCTTGGCTCCTTTCTTTGGCTGGCAGCTTTCCTCCTCGATGTCAGCCTCCTCGATCTCTGGCTTCTTCCTCTTGTCAGCTTGCTTTCCTCGCTTCTTTGGCAGCTCTGACTCTGCAGGGCTGTCCTCTTCCTCCTCTTCCAACACCGTTAGCCTGTTCTTCTTGCTGCGGGCTCCTCCCTTGCTCCCTGCTGCTCCTCTCTTTCGTGGCTCTGGGTTCTCCTCCCTTTCCTCCTCTTCCTC